TAACATTCAAATTCTTCAATTCCTATATACAAGTTTAAAAATATGTTTTTATTATTTATTTACTTATTAAAGCACAACATGTAGTAGATCCATTAGAAAAATAATTTGGTATCATTCAGTTTTTGTTAACATTCAATAATAATAATAATATGTAATAGGCTTATAACATTATTTACATTGTTATCTCATCCTCAACTTTTTCTCAAATTGGGAAGACCCGTATTAAAAAAAATATTGAATTTGGCACTACTTTTTAAATTTCATAAATAAGGGAAACAATGATTTAATCGATTCCAAAAACTTAAATAACTGAAAAGAAAAATTAAAGTGTTATTAATTATTTAAAATTTTAAATCTTGATAGAAAGATTCTTACAGGAGGGTAGATAAACTGCAATTTAAATTTCTGAGTAAATATTCAAATTGTTATAACGTTTCATTTGAAATCTGTTTTTTTACCAACACATTTAATTTGCCACGTTGAGAATAATTTTGAAAAGAACCAATCAAAAATTTTCAATAGTTTAATTTGAAATTGATTAAAGATTCCTCACTGAAAACTGTGACTGTTTTTTATAGGGAAACCAAATTATAAAATTGAAACTTATCAAATTATCTTTGAGGATGAAACAAAAACCAATTAATTGCCAAAAAAGCCTGGCAGCATTATATCAAAAACTAAACAAAATAAATACACTATTTATATATACATAGTATACACAGTTACGGCTTAATAAGAAATCGTTTTTCCTATATAATAAGAAAAAAAAACAGGAAACGTGTTGCAAATATTACGACAACAATAACATTATGCTGTTAAAAAATAAGAAAATAAAAAAATCGATGTCGCATCGCTTATCAAAAAATAGAGTTTAGCTTATGGTTTCACTGGTGTTTCATTTAATTGCTTTAAAGTTTAACGCTTAACAGTCTTAAGTTTCGACAACCGCTACTTCGCTTGCTCTTACAACGTGTACAGAGTGTTTCAAGTTTCACGACAAGGACATGGGAGGTTCCGAAGTCACACAACGACGTAGAAGTGACGAGTCGAGATTCATCCTGGAAGCCAACAGGTAATTGTCATCGCCTATTGGCGCTGCCCTGGAATTTACATTTTTCAGCGTTAGCACAATATTAAATCAACCTCAAATGAAAGAACAAAGATTAAAAACAGTTAGCTTTTTATGGCCTTACACCTAAAAACAAAGGTAACAACAAGAATGATGTCTTCTATTTTGCTTTATAGAAGGTAATGGGAGAAATAAATTATTAAAAAAAATGTCAACTTGACACAATTCTCTGAACCATAAAACAACTATTATAATTAATTGTAATTAAAGTAAGGATTTGCTTACTTGCTGCCATATTTGGTTTCACGATCGAGCATCCTTTTGTACGAGTGGTGCTTTTGTCCGAGTTGATACGCGCAATCTCGTAGCTGCTTCAAGTTGTTGAAACACCCTTCAGCATCCTCAATGCTGTCGTGACCCATACTGTAGACAGCAGCAGCCTGATCATACAACATACTGATCAGTTTCTCTATTCTTGGCAAATAGGAGAATATTAATGAATGAAGACGTTCCAGGTCACGCTCAGGATCAAGGGTCATGTGCAGGTTGTTTTCAAGCCTGGTCACAGCATTGCAACCGGGAGCTAATTCGTTTGGTGATTTGCAACTAAACAAAAGAAGACTATTATAGGTAAAGAGACCACACTGATTCCATTATTATCTTTAGATTTTAGAAAAATGTTTGAATACAATGTCATGAAGCACGTCACAATGCAATTGAAAACAAAAAATGCGAAAATAATCATTAAAAATAACCAAACTTACCATAACCACTGTCCATTGATGAATGCACATGGATGGTATTTTTCTAATCGATTGGTATTGGTCTGACAAATTTTAGTAAGTAAATCGACCCATTCCTTCTCCTCAACACAATTTGGAGCCTGTACATACAATGCCCTTTCTGGTTGAATTATTTGGAACATGTTCTTCATTTTGAATGATTTTTCAGTAAGCCTTTCAACTGCTAATATATTTGAAAGTGGAATTTGACATAAAGCTTCTTTTCCTAGAAAGAACAATAAATTCTTCACTAATTACGATGATTAAGAATGATATTAAATTAATTTACCTTTTGTTTTGGCATAGCTTAGATCATGTGTTGTCAATTTAAAATATCGCTGCTTGAAGTTCTTTCGTCCAAATCTTTTTCTTCCTTGGGCTCTTTTAATCATTATCCTGGAAAATAAAACAAATTGTAATAAAATATTTTTAGTTATATATGTACATTTATCGCAGAGTTTATTTACATACCGTTTGATCTCTCTTTAGAGCAGCAGGGAAAATTAAAAGTTATAAATAAATATTTAAAAACTAACAAGCACGAAAGTGTTGAAATAATATAACAATGGTAAGCAACGCCTAAAACTAGGCCTTACCCTTCTTTTAAAACAACAGGCATGTCCTCTGTCACAGTTTGAGGATTAGAACTTGCAGAAATAATTTCTAGAAATTGCCTAACGGCTTGCATGTGTTGTTCAGTGTAAAATTCCTTGTATATTGACTCCATATATTCTTCCTTGTAGATTTGCTGATTAGAACGACAGCTAACGAGATTTCCAAGGGACTGAATAGTCTTCGAGATAAGTGTTAAAGTTCGATTCGTTTGACTGTCCTGGAAAGGAAAGAAATTACATTTTGAGATTTCATTTTAATCTTTCAATTATCACTACTATTGAATTACGTTATATTATTGAAGTATATTATATAACTAATTATATATTCATGGAATCATCAAAATGAAGATTTTCTAAACAGCAATTGTTTAAAATAATGATGACATGTTTAAGTTGGAAAATAGTTAGTTATTAAAGCAGATGAAAAAGGAATAATTTTGATAGTTTTTGAAATTGAATAAATTAATAAGGAAACAGTTTCAAGAACTTACAATTTGTTCTGTTGTCAAATCAAAGAGCCTGGGACCAAGAATGGCAGGTGCAAAAAACCTCAAAAATATAAACCCGGACACAACAGAGTACCTCACCTCCCTGTTCTCTGGAAACCTGGATACAGCACATTCCTTCAAATTATGAAAAATCTGACACATTAACGTGGGACAGTGTACGGCACTTTGAGTTATTGCTTTGAATATTTTATGTACATAATCTTTAAGATTGGCTAAATTAGTTTGGATTACGTTGGGATCCTTAACTCTAGTACTATCTATTTCACACGGTTTTTTCTCACTAAATACGAGGTCTAAAGTGGGTCTTAATGTTTTGTGCAGGTACTGGAGCCCTATTAACCTCATCGCTTCATCCATCATTTTTGAGACCAAAGTGTTTCCTCTAAATATTGTTGTCGAATCCCTGTAAAATTTTTTTTATTACTAGTTTCTATTTTACGTTTTTGTTTTTTATATACATTATAAAGATCTCAGTATTGTACGTTCATTAAGAGTGCAGGGCGATAGACCACACGGCTCAACTAAAGAAAATGAAATTTTTGCGGAGGTTCTTGAACATTATGTGGTACAAAATACGTATGTAAGTACAGAAAAATCAAAACACTGAAAAGTTCATTGAGTAGCACTTAAGACCAACAAAAGCAGAAGGATAAAATTAAAGAGTCAGACTGACATCGTACAGAGGGATTCGGTAATTAATAATTTATCGTATATTATTAAATATAGTTGAAAAAGGACGAAAAAACAATTTTTTTTTTCAGTTTAACAATNGCAATCATGATTCTTTTTTGGTGTCATTTAGATCTTTCTGATTAAATTAAGATTAAATCTGTTAAAAAAAGGTAAAAATATTGTTCTATAATTACCATAGCAACGTGCATTGCATTTTCATCGGCATCGCTAAAAATTGCAACGGTTTTCACTCCAAGTTTGCGCGCTGTCCGAATTATTCTGCACGCGATTTCTCCCCTATTCGCTATCACTATCTTATCTATTTGAATCACGTCACTTTTGAAACCGCATCTTTGTAAAAATGCCTTATTATTGGAAACAAATCTGCCCAAGAAGAAAATTTCATTTAGAAGCTACGTATTATAACTGAATTAAAATATTTTACTTACAACTTATGGCATTTTGTGGTACTTCTAAGTAATACTGCCCAAGAAAACATTTTAACAATAAGGTTACACACGATAAATATTAAGATATTTTCTGGTAATGATGAAAATATGTATGAAATGTGTTTCTCTGTTATTAGACTTCTTATCAGCTTTGCTAATGAATAAATAAAATAAGTCGTTTATTACAAACATCTTATCACCGAAAACAAATGTTAAGTTATGCATTTAGTACTTATTCAAAGATGATTATGAAAGGGAACAAAAACGTGTTTGCTAATTAAAGCGCGTGCATGTAATTGGGGGGTGAGGCTCTTTTTAATTATCTTTTACTGCAATATCTCCTTCCCCTTTTTTTATATTCGAACTGTTTTTATGGTAATATAAAATAATCGCATCTATTAATTAATAACAAGTTACCTATAATAGATTATAGCAATCATTGTTTCAAAAAAGTCTGAATGAACCATTTTGCAATTGTAGAGTTAACTAATTATATTTAACATATTGTCAAGAAGCTATAATAATCATATCTCGTATAATATGAACAACATATTGTGCTAAGCCACCGTATACCGTGAATAAACTAAACCTTCGATTACAGAAACGAAAGTCCATTGACCTTAAAAACGATATTTCGCTATTATAAAAAATAAAATTCTTAAAAATCAAAATTTATATGTATTTCATTATTGTTTTTGTATTTGTTGTTGTAGGGTCAGTAGAACACGCTAAGCCCGAGTGAGTAATAAGGTAAAGAACTTCATGCCCCTCTCCTCACCTGACTTTGATTTTTATCAATTAATTTGTTTCGGAAAATTGGAAGTACATAAAATGCATTAATACTAATAGTAAAGGATTTCCAAAAAAAATTTCATATGGGTAATTACCATTACCATGTCTTTTGCTCTTTTTTAATGAGTAAAAAGTATGTGTTATATTTGTATGCTTGTTGTTAATTATAGATGTTTATTACATATTAAATATATATCGATAATGTTAAGTACTGTTTCATGTTCACATTACCGAGTGTGTATTGCAATTAAGTATCAGAATTTCTCATAAAATTATGTTAATGTATTAATAACAACGACTAAGACGACTTTGTTTTGTTTATCCCATGGCTTCAGGGGTATCTTCGTTTAAATGTTATGTTTATCCCTTTAGGTACTGTTTTATTGTTATGTATTGCACTATTTTATTTTTATTCTATTCTCTTCCTGAGACATGTTCATTATCCTAATTAACAATAATTATTAGAATTAAACTTATTTTAATAATTATTGTTAA